AACAGCAGCCTACAGAATGAGAATAAAAAATCTTCACGGACCCTACATCAGACAGAGGTCTAAAACATAATATATATACTGAACTCAAGAAAGTAGACCAACAAACCAAAGAACCCAATTAAAAAATGGGGTACAGATCTAAACATAAGACTTCTCAACAGAGGAATCTCTAATGGCCAAGAAGCACTTAAATACTCAACATCCTTAGTCATCATAGAACTTCAAATTAAAATGACTCAGATTCCATCATACATCCATCAGAATGGCTAAGATCAGAAACTCCAGTAACAGCTCATGCTGACAAGGATGTGGAGAAAGGGGAACAGTCCTCCATTGCTGGTGGTAGTGAAAACTTTGTGTGTGTGTGTGTCTATTTAATTTTTCACTTTTTCTTTTTTATTTTTTTATTATTAATTATACTTTATTCACTTTGTATCCCCCCTATAAGCCCCTACTTTCTCCCTCCCAGTCCCACCCTCCCTCCCCCTTCTTCATGCATGCCCCTCCCCAAGTCCACTGATAGGGGAGGTCCTCTTCTCCTTCCTTCTGATCTTAGTCTATCAGATCACATGAGGAATGTCTGCATTGTCATCTTCTGTGGCCTGGTAAGGCTGCTCACCCATCAGGGGGAGGTAATCAAAGAGCAGGCCAATAAGATTATGTCAGAGGCAGTCCCTCTTCCCATTAACTATGTAACCCACTTGGACACTGAACTGTCATGTGATACATCTGTGCAGGGGTTCTAGGTTATCTCCATGAATAGTCCTTGATTGGAGTATGAGTCTCTGGGAAATTCTCTGTGTTCAAATTTTCTGGTTCTGTTGCTCTCCTTGTGAGGTTCCTGTTCTCTCCAGCTCTTACTATTTCCCACTTCTTTCATAAGATTCCAAGCACTCTGCCCAACAGTTGGCCATAAGTCTCAGCATCTGCTTTGATAGTCTGCAGACAGAGGCTTTCAGAGGCCCTCTGTGGCAGGTTCCTAGGTTGTTTCCTGTTTTCTTATTCTTCTGATGTCCAACCTTTTTGCCTTTCAGGATGGGGATTGACCGTTTTAGTCAGGGTCCTCTCTCTTGCTCAGTTTCTTTAGATGTACAGTTTTTAGTAGGTTTATCCCATGTTATATGTCTATATGAGTGAGTATATACCATGTGTGTCTTTCTGCTTCTGGGACAGCTCACTCAGGATGACCCTTTCCAGTTCCCACCATTTACCTGCAAATTTCCTGATTTCCTTGTTTTTCATTGCTGAGTAATACACTATTGTGTAGATGTACCACAATTTCTGCATCCATTCTTCAGTTGAGGGGCATCTGGGCTGTTTCCAGCTTCTGGCTATTACAAATAAAGTTGCTACAAACATGGTTGAGCAAATGTCCTTATTGTGTTCTTGAGCCTCTTTTGGATATATGCCTAGGAGTGGTATGGCTGGATCTTGAGGAAGCACTATTCCTCGTTGTCTGAGAATGCACCAGATTGCTTTTCAGAGTGGTTGTACAAGTTTACATTCCCACCAGCAGTGGAGGAGGGTTTCCCTTTCTCCACAACCTCTCCAGCATGTGTTGTCACTTGAGTTTTTCATCTTGGCCATTCTGATGGGTGTAAGGTGAAATCTCAGGGTCGTTGTGATTTGCATTTCCCTAAGGGCTAATGAGGTTGAGCATTTCTTTAAGTGTTTCTCTGCCATTTGATGTTCCTCTACAGAGAATTCTCTATTTAGCTCTGTTCCCCATTTTTTAATTGGATTACTTGGTTTGTTGTTTTTCAGCTTTTTTTAGTTCTTTATATATACTGGATATTAGTCCTCTGTTAGATAGAGGACCAGTGAAGATTCTTTCCCAATTTGTAGGCAGTCAGTTTTGTTTTGATGACAGTGTCCTTTGATTTACAGAAGTTTTTCAGTTTCATGAGGTCCCATTTATTGATTGTTGCTCTTAGAGCCTGTGCTGTTGGTGTTCTGTTCAGGAAATTGTCTCCTGTGCCAATGAGTTCAAGGGTATTTCCCACTTTTTTTCCTAACCGATTTAATGTGTCTGGTTTTATGCTGGGTCATTGATCCACTTGGACTTTAGTTTTGTGCAGGGTGATAAGTATGGATCTATTTTCATTTTTCTACATGTAGACATCCAGTTAGACCAGCACATTTGTTGAAGATGCTATCTTTTCTCCATTGTTTGGTTTTGGCATCTTTGTCAAAGATCAGGTGTCCATAAGTGTGTGGGTTTATCTCTGGGTCCTCTGTTCAGTTCCATTGATCCACCATTCTGTTTCTATGCCAGTACCATGCAGTTTTTATAACTGTTGCTCTATAGTACAGCTTAAGATCAGGGATGGAGATACCTCCAGAAGATCTTTTATTGTAGAGGATTGTTTTAGCAATTCTGGGTTTCTTGTTATTCCATATGAAGTTGAGAATTTTTCTTTCCAGGTCTGTAAAGAATTATGTTGGTAATTTGATGGGAATTGCATTGAATCTGCAGATTGCTTTTGGTAAGATGGCCATTTTTACTATGTTAATCCTGCCAAGCTATGAGCATGGGAGATCTTTCCATCTTCTGATATCTTCCTCTAATTCTTTCTTCAGAGACTTGAAATTTTTTTCATACAAGTCTTTGACTTGCTTGATTATGGTTACTCCAAGGTACTTAGAGAAAGAACACCCTTCACAATAGCCACAAATGACATAAAGTACCTTGGGATAGTGAAAACTTGAACAAACACTTTGGAAATCAATTTGGTGGTTTCTCAGAAAATTGAGAATTGATCTACCTAAAGAAACAGCTAAACTACTCCTAGGCATATATCCAAAAGATGGCTACCATACCACAAGGACACTATGTTCATTATGTGTTCATTATAGATTTATTCAGAATAGCCAGAAACTGGAAACAACCTAGATGTACGTCAACCAAAGAATGGATAAAGAAAATGTGGTATATTTATACAATGGAATATTACTCAGGTATTAAAAACAAGGAAATCATGAAATTTGCATGCAAATGGATGAACCTAGAAAATACCCTGAGTGAGGTAACCCAGACGCAGAAAGACCAACGTGGTATGTGCTCACTTATAAGTAGATTCTGGCCATAAAGTACAGGATGACCAGGCTACAATCCACAGACCCAAAGCAGTAACAAGGAGAGCCCGAGGGAGGACACTTGAATGTCCCTGAGAAGGGGAAATAGATTAGACATCAGGGTGAGGGGGTAGACAGCGGAAGGGAACTGAATGTGGGAGAAGGTGGGGATGGGAACAGGAGGGGTGAGGTGGGAGGAAGACAGAGAGAGAGAAGGGAGGTGGAGAGTGTAGTGCGAAAGAGAACTGGAATAGGGGGTATAATCTCTGGGACAAGCTAGAACCCCAGGACAATGGAAACTCCCAGGAATCTATGATGGTGACTCTAGCTAAGACTCCTAGGAATGGGTGATATGGAGCCTGAACCAGCCATCTCCTGTACCCAGGCAAGACTTACAATGGAGGGATTGGGACACCAACCAGCCACAAAACCTTAGACCCACAATTTGTCCTGCCTGTAAGATGAGCTAGAGTAAAAGATGGAAGAGAATTTGAGGGAAGGGCAACCCAGTGACTGACCTAGCTTGAGACCCATGCCGTGAGAGGGAGCCCACCCTGACACTATTAATTGATATTCCCTATTCCCCTGTACTTGCTAACAGAAGCCTAGCAGAAATGTTATCAGAGAGGCTTCATCCAGCAACTGACGGAAACAGATGCAGAGACTCATAGCCAAACATTACATGGAGCTTGGGGAATCCTGCAGAAGAAGGAAAAGAAGGATTGAAGAAGCCAGAGAGGTCGCCACCACAAGAAAACCTACAGAATCAACTAACCTGAGCCTATAAAGGTTCATAGAGATTGAACTGCCAACCAGAGAGCATGCATGGGACTGACCTAGGCCCTCTGCACATAGGGAACAGTTGTGCAGCTGAGTCTTCATACAGGGCTCCTAAAGCGGGAATATGGGACTGTCTCTTACTCTGTGGCCTGCCTCTGGATCCCTTTCCCCTAACTGAGCTGCCTAGTCTAGCCTCAATAGGAGAATATGCACCAAGTCTTACTGCAACTTGATATGCCAAAGCTGGCTGGTATCTATGGGAGGCGTCGCCTTTTTCTGAGGAGAATGGGAAGAGGGGTGTATTAGGAAGGAAGGGAAGGGAGAGGGAGGAACTGGGAAGAGAGGAGGGAGTGAAAGCTGAGATTGGGGTATAAGGTAAGTAAATAATTAATTTTTAAAAATCTGTACCCTCATCTTTAAGCTTGAACACAAAGTTGTTTTTAAAAACATGCTTCACATATTTAGTTTTAATATTTATCTTCGTATTATCATTCTCATTTATATTTATTCAAATTATCATCAAGAAACTTTTTTTTTCCTGGTTTTTCAAGACAGGGTTTCTCTGTGTAGCCCTGGCTGTTCTGGAACTAACTCTGTAGAGCAGGCTGGCCTAGAACTCAAAGATCCACCTACCTCTGCCTCCTGAGTGCTGGGATTAAAGGCATGTGCCACCAGTGCCTAGCAATTTTATATTACCCATAATAGTTTATATTTAAAATATATATTTATATTTTATACTTTATATATTAAATTTGTATTTATAAATACTGTTTTTTAGATGAGAATGTAGCCTCCCACACCCCAGAAGGAAGCTATATCTGCATTTCATAAACAGCTTTCCAGTCACTCCTGTAACTCAAAAATTCCACACATATTTATTACATTATTTTATTTGCAAAGGCTTATACAAAGTATGTGAAATATCACCTAAATTCTTTTTTTAAAAAAAAAAACTTCTCCAAATATCAATTCTTAATGGGCGGTTTCTTGTCTATCACTAAAATAAATACGTATTTCTTGACTACTTCCAATTTTCCTGAATGCCACCTACTTATAAGTTAATGACAATAACTCAGCGTATCTGTTTTTTCCAGTGCCTCAAAGCTGTACCCTATTTGAACTCAAGATAAGAACTATTTACAAACCTCCATCCATCCTTCTGCAGGTAACTGAAGGCTCCGTCAATGACACTTGCAAAAAACTGTCCCCCTGTGATGAAGAGGGTGTTAATGGTGACCAGTCGGCCTCTCAGGTTGGGCGGCGAGACCTCTGCGATGTACACAGGAACCGTCATGGAAGCAACGCCTGCAGTGAAGAACCAAATTAAGCATGAGACATCTGTGCATTCCCTGTTGCCACTACGCTCATCCAAGTGCGATTAAAACACACACTTGTTGATACGGGCTTTCACTCTGCTCTGAACACAGATTATCAAGATTTTGTTTGTGACTGCTGTGGAGCTATTGTGCACAAGTAAAGAAGTATGTGAGGTTCCATACTCTGAGTATTGTTTTTCTATGTTATTATTTAAATTATTTTATTATTTTATTGTGAGGTCTTATGTAGCTGGTCATGAACACACTAGGGAACTAAGAGTAATCCTCCTCCCTTTTTCTCCCAATGCTCAGCTCACATTGTCATTTAAAAGCCCCTATACAGAGGTACCTCAGCAGTCCTACAATGACATTAAAGGCATAAGAACACTTCATAATTTTATGGATGAACAATACAAAATTATGCTCAAGGAAGACTGATGTGATTGCTAAATTATTTTAGTCTCTATGGAAATGTAATCAGACAACAGTGAGAACAGAACACTATTCAATAATTTATATCAAGTATTCTGTCATTATTTAGAAGAGATCTTATTAAATCATGCCATCCAATTACCCAGATATATATTTCAGAGACAGCTTACAATGACAGAACTTTTAGAAATCCACAGTTCTGAAAAACAGAAGATCTCGGACTGAAAAGGAAAGTGTTATGGGGCTGGGGGTGGTTGGTGAAGGATCCACACGGTTATTTATAAAACTTTAAGCTGTGTGTATGTAGATATTACAAATCAATCCATAGGTAAAGATGGAGGACCAATACTGCACAGAACTGGATTTAAGGCACTGCTTTGTACCAAAGGAAGCACCTAGACACCTGACACTGTGCTTCTGGCCCAGAGCCCTTGTGTTTCAGGTGCTCTCCACCACAGTCCAAAATCAGCCACACCTGTCTACACTCAGTGACAGCAATACCTGCTCTTCTCAACAAACACCGCGTTTCAGTAGTGCTAAGAGACAACAGGGGCTCATGGAAGCTGGGCCGTGCCCCTAAGCTATACACTCAGTTCATCACCAATTTTTGTTTGTTGAGCACCAACATAAATCACACTCCTCTCTCACGTATGAGTATTGCATACTAACTGATTGTACCCTGGATCTCTTAATTCTCTTTCATTTCCTTCCTTCTCTAGATAGGGGCCTACTTCCACCCAGTCATTATAGCTTCACCAAATAACTTGCCAGCGTCACAGTACTCTGAAAGCTTATCAGTTGTACTTTTCCGTTAAATTTAATTAACCTTAGCCATCTTTGAGTTAGGCAACTACATTAAAAAAATACTGGAAAATGCACTGTATTAAGACAAACATATAAGCAGTTAAGCTTTACAGGTATTCCTTGGTCCTGTAGTGCCTGCCAGCACACGTAGAGAAGCCTAAATTTTAAAAGTTTCGCAACATAAGCAGAAGGAGTCTCAAACTAAATCACTATCACCTTAGTGTAGTATTAGTATGGCATAGAGGACCTTAACATGCCTTCTGTGGAACTTGTAAATAAACACATGTTCAACTAATGTTAATAAGTTAGTTGCATATTCACCTCACTTCCTTTACTATGGGATCAATATGCATTTACTATGCATCAATAAAATTTCACAAATAAGTACTAATTTATGATTTGGATATATTTTTCTGTACTGGTCTAGGTATAAACAATTATTCTATTTCTCTCCTGCCCAGAGATCTCCCGTCAGCCACTTAGCCCTCCAGACATTGGAAACCAGAACCACACATTTAAGCCAAGCATGCCTGTCCCCAAACCACAGATTTTACATGACAATAAATGTGGACATGTCCTCAGGCCTTTAGAAAGCTTGATGGTTTAAAATGAATACCAGAGTGTTGAAGGTAGCAGATGATGTCCAAGAAAGAAAAAAAAAAAAAAAGACTAGAAAGCTAGAAAAATCTCTAGAGCCATTATTAAGTAGAGCTGAAAAGAGCTGCCAAAATCTGTCCCGTGTTGATTTAGTATAGCTGTTCAAACTGCCTAATTGTGTTAGTTAGGCATTTTCTGTATCCCAATTATAGCTCTAATCCTCAGCACATCTCTACTGAGAGCAGGTAATTACCCCACTTCACAGAGGACATTATCCCAGGGCATGTAGTAAGTCAAAAAACCCATCAGATGCCAGAAGCCAGCCTTAATGTCACACACTAAACTGGCTCATCAGCACTGAAGACAGCAGGCTCAGGAACCATACCTTTCAATACCACCACGACATTTACACGGTGGATAAGTCATTGCAAGTTATTTAACATTTCCAGGTGTCCAATTCCTTATCTATGGAATGAAGAGATTAAAAATCCTTCAAAGATCCATTCCTCAACTGAGGGACATCTGGGTTGTTTCCAGGTTCTGGCTATTACAAATAAAATTGCTACGAACATGGTTGAGCAAATGTCCTTGATGTATACTTGAGCATCTTTTTGATCTATGCCTAGGAGTGGTATAGCTGGATCTTGAGGAAACACTATTCCTACTTGTCTGAGAAAGTGCCAAATTGATTTATAAAGAGGTTGTACAAGTTTACATTCCCACCAGCAATGGAGGAGGGTTCCCCTTTCTCCACATCCTCTCCAGCATGTGTTGTCACTTGAGTTTATCATAGCCATTCTGATGAGTGTAAGGTGAAATCTCAGGGTCATTTTGATTTGCATTTCCCTCATGACTAAGGACTTAATAGCCAGAAGCTGGAAACAACCCAGATGCTTCTCCTTTCAGGAATGGATACAGAAATTGTGGGACGTTTACACAATGGAATACTACTCAGCAATTAAAAACAAGGAAATCATGAAATTTGCAGGTTAATGGTGGGAACTGGAAAAGATAATACTGAATGAGGTATCCCAGAAGCAGAAAGACACACAAGGTATATATACTCACTCATAAGTGAATATTAGACATATAATATAGAATAAACATACTAAAATCTGTACACCTAAAGAAGCTAATCAAGAAGGAAGATTCTGGGTAAGATGCACAATTCTCATTCATAAAGGCAAACGGGATGGACATCACAAGAGGGAGAAAACAGGGAACAGGACAGGAGCCTACCACAGAGGGCCTCTGAAAGACTCTATCAGCGGTGTATCAAAGCAGATGCCAAGACTCATATCCAAACTTTGGGCAGAGTGGAGGGAATCATATGAAAGAAGGAGAAGATAGAAATACAATACCTGAAGGGGACAGGAGCTCCACAAGGAGAGCAACAGAATCAAAATAATCTGCACATAGGGTGTTTTCTGAGACTAATACTACAACCAAGGACCATTCATTGAGATAACCTAAAACACCTGCACAGATGTAGCCCATGGCAGCTCAGTATCCAAGTGGGTTCCCTAAGAAGGGAAACAGCAGGCACTGTCACCGACATGAACTTAGTTGCCTACACTTTAATCACCTCTCTGAGGGGGGAGCAGTCTTACCAGGTCACAGAGGAAGACAATGCAACCACTCCTGATGAGAACTGATAGACTAGGATCAGATGGAAGGGAAGGAAGACCTCCCCTATCAGTGGACTGGGGGTGAGTCATGGGTGGAGAAGAGGGAGGGAGTATAGGGTTGGGAGAGGAAGAGGGAGGGAGCTACAGGTGGGATACAAAGTAAATAAACTGTAATTAATAAAAATAAAATATATCTTTAAAAAAATCTTTCAAAGAAATTGAGAAATGCCAATGAATTGACAAAGTAAACAACTTAAACACAGAAAGTATTCAATACTAGTCACTATCACTTTTGTTATCTCTAGATGAAAAGTATCTCAACTTTTGGATTCAGTTCAACCTGCATTATGTGCCAATATTGTGAGCAAAAATAAACAAAACTGAGCCCATGCATGTGAATGAAGCTAAGCACAAACCCCACTTACACTTATTACAACATGTAATCAAATAAGTAAGTTGAACATGACACAGTAGGATGACCATTGCCCTGGGTTCCAGTCTGTGATGCTAATTGCTGCCGCTTGATGATAAAGTGGAAACTCAAAAGCCTGGACAGACAACTCTTCACAGATGAGCATGAGACTGAAACAGCATGAAATGGCCTGAGACTCAATGATCAATTATTAATTACGTGGAGAGTATGTGAAGAAATGAAATGCAGATGATGGAAAAACCACACACATCAATCAAGGCATGTTTATGGCATCTATACCTGAGGCTGTGATGGGAGATATAACCACTGTTCACCTAGAGCTTAGAGGCTGTAGCAACGGGAATAGCCAGTCTAAGAAGGCAGAAACTCAAGAGAAGCATTCCTCTTAAAGCTGAGATCCAGTGTGTAGTCTAGTCCCCAGGGCTAGGGACTAGAACTTCAGACAAAGGTCCAGAGGCACAACAAACTGCAGCCTGCTTAGGAATGGAGACAGTTCGGAGTGACGAAGGTAGCAATCAATAAAAAGGTCAGAAACCAAATCAAGGGTTTGGCACTTGAGTTTCCACTTTGAGTAGAGGGAAAGAGGAAAAGGCATCCACAGATTCACATCTGGGCAGGTCTCTCAAACTTGCCATATAGCTGAAGATGTCCTCGACTTCTGATTCTTCTGCTTCTATCTCCACAGAACCATGTTACAAGTCTATGGTACCACACCCAACTTATGTGGTGCTGGGGATGGACCCTAGGATTTCACACATGAACTAGGCAACTGCAACACCAGTTGAGCTACTTCCCTAGCTCCAGATTTATATTTTTTTAAAGGATAAGTCTGGCTGGAGTAGAGAAATTTGATTGCAAGAGAGCAATAAATATACGGTCAGCAGAGGATATTGAAAGGAAAGGAGAGGGATGAGAGTTATGTAGTTAGGACTCAAACTACCAGGGGAAAGAAATGATGGGTGAGGAGAGAAAGAAGTTAAGGATGATGGTCAAATGCCCAAACTAAGCAACTAAGGTCATGCTGGGTACTCTGAATTAAAACAGCAACTACTTACTGGTGCACACCTTTAATTCCAGCACTCGAGAGGCAGAGGC